GGGATGGAAGTTCCAAACGATAGGTTGGGGGCCGAGGAGAATGAGCGACCTCTCAACTTAAGCAATGGTTGGTTGGGGGCAGGGGGCTTCAATACAAAATCTTGGTTGCTGGAGCAAAGAGTGCACGGAGGAGAGGAGAGTGAGATGAGAGGGAAGAGTGCGTATTGTTGAACATATGCATGTAGCAATGGTTGAGTTACGTGTGTTGAATGTCTACATCATGTGACCTCCTTTGCCAGTAATAAAATATGATTATAGGGTTTTCCCCTTTTTTTCTGGCAACAAAACAGGTGTTAAGATGTTAAAACACCGTTTGAGACGAGTCTCAAAAGAAAGCTGTATCTGGTGTGGACCAATCAGTTTCAAGGACAATGCAAATATTATCAGAATGTTTTTTTTTGTATTCTGACCACAAGCGTTGTGGTTACTGCAGACATGATTTCTTGTAAAAGGTTTAAATTTGGTGTTTTAACATCTTAACACCGGTTTTCTTGCCAGAAAAAAAGGGGAAAATCCTATTATCATGTGTTGCATGTGTATGCTGTTGAGGTTTATTGTAATGTTTCGAAAATGTTAATGCTTCGTTCATATTTCTGCGCACATGTTTGTTTGTATATTTAGGCTGCATCAAGCCTCATTAAGTAATTTTCCGTACGTAAAGACGTGTTATTTTGCTCGCTTCTCACTGATGTGAGATGCTGTTTCTCTTGCTTTGTTTACAGAACTACTCTCATTAACAGTAATGTGGGGGGCAATATTACGTATCCTATTATCCACGGGGAAAAAAATAATAATCAGAAAATCATGAATTTGTCAAATCACTGCTCTTATCCATGAAAACCTTCGTGGAGAAAAGGAATAATTTGATTTGCCGTAGTTTACAATTTGATTTGCCGTAGTTTACAAATTGTTTTGACCCAGGTCCCCCCTTGCAAAGATGGCTCTCGGTCTCAACCGTTTCTCAACTGGATATAAAAAGTTAACCCATGTTACAGCAGAGAACTCGAATAATCGGTGTTGATATGGAGGAGACTGCATCGCGGGCCATGTAATCCGTGAAGGTTCTATAATTCGCAAGCAAAATGTCGCGCCAACGTGGTGTGCCCCTGTTTACAGCGGAGCACTCAAGCACGTGAATAGTGCATTACAAAAAAATCCGTAATCAATTCGCGAACCGCGAGGTTATGCGTTTTTATAAGATCCTATATGTCTACGTGAGAGAATTTTTTTTTTACTACTCATACGAGTATAAAAATTGCTGCATTATTTTGTACAGCAAAAAAGATCAGGGGAGCACAATCATTCTGTGCAGGAGCAAAAATAATAATAATTCCGAATTAAAAAATAAACAAGGCCTCCACGTTTCTCTGCGACAGATCGCGGTTTGCAGTCCACGAAGCATTTTCTATTTGGTGCCGTGTGTCACGGACTACAAGAGGAGTCGCAAACCGCCAAAAAGAATCGAACGAACGCTTTATGTACATACCGTGCGAAGACGTTCAACATACATTCATACTAACATGTTGCAGGTACATTTCGATACGGTCCAGAACTTTCTCTCACTTCACCGGCATAGTGTACACCCACCTGTAAGGTAATTATCTTCGCTGTCAGTTTGGCCCAACATGTCTGGGCAAGTCACTTGACTGACTTAAAACTTTGAAAGTGTCTCCCCAAATGTAGAGGACTGGAGCTGCAAGTCATTTTCAAATTTTGGGACGTCAAGCTTGGGAAGTGATCTTTGCGAATAAAGGGTTTTCTCTTGTGAATGACATCACAATTCACCTTGATGCCTGCTTTATTACAGGTGATTCACACCTTTCTTTCTCGCTCTCGCTCTCGACGCAGTCGTGTAGTTCCATATGTGATGCGAGTATCGCCAAAATCGCCGATAGCAAGTTCGTAAATTTACTGTAACTCCCACCCCCCCCCCCCCCCGTGCAGCAAAACGTCTGACATCGTACCGAACAACACGTGGTATGACCAGGGAACACATTGGAAAATTATACTAAAAACGAAACAACATTATTTTTTTTTTTACCAGGTAAGGTCCACCGAGCTCTTTCGCTCTTTTTCAGACGCGACCTGGCCACAAACGATAGCTCAAAGAAGTGGCTTATTATGTGGAAATTAATCGCAGACAAATAATCTAAACGCATGTTTCTAAATGCGGAGGGAAAAACTGGGAGGACCCGGAGAAAAATCCACGTGACCAAATTGGAGAACACTCAAACTCCAAATGTACAGGCATGAGGGTCGCGATTGAACCGACGACCTCCTGTATACCAGGCGAGGTAGTTAACATCTATCGCCACCGTGGTGCCCACGGCACAACAGCGTCAACCGGCGCAGTAGTAGGGTTACATTTATTTATTTAGCGAATGCAAAGTCCCTAAGCCAAGCGGTTGCCTCCGGTCCTGTTGTGTTGAGGGTGACTAGAGGCCCTCCGCTGAGTTTGTGGATTGAGCAGACTTCTAGAATGTGGTGCATGGTTTGCTCCACCCCACGGGCACATAGGGGCTTGCTCTCATGCCCCATCGGTGGAGGTTTTCGAGGCATGGGTCGTGACCGGTCCTGAACCTGTCGAGGGTGGACCACTCCTTCCTGGAGAGGTTGAAACCAGACGGATGCTGTGTGGGGGTAGTAATGAGGTACTAATTTTCCAGGTCCAGTGACGTCGTGAGGATGAGTCTTTCCAAATCGGCTTTCTTGGGGAGGCGTAATCTTTGGTGGGCTGAAATTAATGTAAAGCACTCATTTGTGAAAACTGGCAATTTGGCGAGCCTGGATATCCAGGCAGCTTAAACATGGAAATCAAACTTAATGACTGGAGGCAAGCATTTAATCTTTTTCAGGAAAATACTGGAGTCGACTCCTGAGGTGGATGGGTGGCTCAGGAGCTAGAATGCCAAGGTGGCACCATTGAGATCCGGGTTTTGAATCCGGGTTTCAGCCACCCGCTATTAAACTGGTATCCCAAGTGTCGTGGCTTGATGGTCCTGATGCTGATGACCAATGAGAGTGAAAAAATAAAATCTATTACATTGGTTTTGAACTTCATTTGACTAAATTCCACCTTTTGGTATGCAAAATATCAGTTTGACTGGTATGTGAAACAGTGTGTGGGATAACAATGGTCGGTTGAGATTTCAGAAAAAAAGTTCTACTAATTCTCCCTTCTGTGGGCTTTCTTGTAATAAAACAAGAGTTTGCACCGTTCTACAAGAGTTTTGAATGGATTATTCAACCAATGATGATAGCACAACATAAGTAAAATTGGACAAAACTAAAACGTGTAAGGTGCATCAATCAATGTCGATATGGTGCCGTACATTACTTACAACAATGTAACTGCCTCTGCTTTTCAAAGGAGACCTGGGTTACAAAGCAATTGGAGTGATCGTGTGAAATACTGTTTGTCCAAAACAATCATCATACAGATTGGGATAACAGACAAACTCAATAGACCAAATACATTACAGCCTAGAGAGTAGGACACACAACCAGAACGGATGATGGCCAGTAGTCAGATTACTATTTACTATTTAACTACTATACTCTTTTTATTTGACCAGGTAAGGCCCCCTGAGCTATGTAGCTCTTTTTCAGAAGCAGCCTGGCCACAAATGAGAGCTCAAAAAAGTGGCCGCTTACGTGGAAATGAAGCGCTGCCAAATACTCTAAACGCACGTCACTTCTAAACGCGGAGAGAAAAACCGGAGTACCCGGAAGAATATCCACGCGACCATGGGGAGAGCGAACATGCAAACTCCAAATAAACAGCAGGCGTCCGTCTTGGGATCGAACCCACGAACCTCCTGCATACCAGGCGAGGGAGTTAACATCTCGCCACCGCGGCACCCAACAATGGAGTGGTAGCCAAATGAAAGAACATACGTGAGAGGGCCTCCACAGGAGATACGGAGCAATGAAATCTGCTTGTGTGCAGGTTCTAGAGTGATTGTTGCTTCGAAGGATGGTGATAAAGGTCTTCATCCAGCAGGGGATAGATCATGGTCCCGACGCTGACCATGATGAAATGGAACAAACTAAACAATGCTAGATCAAATGTCACATACTCCAGTTCCTACATTGGCTTCTCATTCACCTGCGCGCCACCATCTTTTTCTCTCTCATTGTCTTCACAATTCATCATCAAGCACCTCCGATTACCAGGATTAGGCGACGTACGGTGCGAAAGAAGTACCACATACATACTTCACCATTCTCCCCCTCAACTCTCCCGAGTTCACCTTCTCCCAACCATTTCTCTCTCTCTCTCTGCTTCCACCCACTGAGGCGATGAGCACCGTCCTATGACTGGACCTGAAAACTCAATTTCCCTGTTCAAGAATACGGGGTAAACCGTATGGATTGACACGGTATGTATCTGTCTCTCCACATATAGAAAAAAAACAGTACACAAACGATATGCCACGCGGGCCGTCTGAGAATTCATTATCAGAACCAGGATCTATCTCAACGGTGTCCAGCCTCAAGTGCTCTGACCGCTCAGCCACGTGACCACATTTTGTACACAGTCACTAAATTAGTAAATTCTTCGTAAGCTTCCAATTTTTTTTTACCAAAAAACACTACTCCTTGCTCTGATGAAACCGTGGCACTGCCAAAAATCTTGAGCGTATTACAGTGTTTTTTTCTGTTATTGGGAAATTCTATTGGCAAATGTGGTGTCGCTTTTTGTTTTAAATATAGTATTGTAAGCCTTGTGCCAAGCCACAGGATGGTCAGGAATACAGCGATAATACAGTATTGTCATCAGCATCCATTTACTAAATGTATTTTAAATATTAAGCAAACAATTTTACTAACATCACTGACACGTTGTCTGATCCAACAAGGCCAAGTGAAAGGTTACTTAAAGAACCCAACAGTAACCTCTACAGGTCAGCCACACGCTGGACTTACCAAACGTACCTCACTGTACTCTCTAAACAAAACGATTATTCCCTGGACAATACGGTATGTACAGTACTCACAATCATCGGTCGACGAGACATCCTTTCCCCGAGAGTCATCTCGGCCACGTTTCACGAATCCCAAGCGCGTATTTGTCACCAACAAACCCCCCCACCCCCCTACAACATCGACACGCTCCCGTAGAGTCACAAGAGAAGACCCGAATGATCTTCAGAGCTAGCTGCCCGACCCTCACACACTCACGCACGCACACAAAGAGCCGGTTTCAGGGAAGTAGCAGACCTGCCCCAAAACTCCCCCACCCCCTGACTCACCTGACCAGTTTCTCACTCCTCCCTCTCTGCAAAAGAGCTCCGACATGCATGGCAACAGTCACATGGAGAGACTCCCACGTCCCTTGGGGGCTAATCATACATGTCTTATTTTTCTGACATCGGATCGAAATATACCTTGGATAACATACAGGAATGCCTTAATGTGACTCGAATGCACACTCATATTCGGACAGCCCATGCAAGGTGGCGCTAGTGGGGTTTTCATTAATCGACGCGTTTGGTAGTTGTTTTATAATGTCCCCAATTGTGGACAGTATGCGTTGTCTTGCATTCCTCGACACGCCTGCAAATGTGATGTTGTCGGTTGTAAATGGACAAATTACTAAATGCCATTTTATCAAGTTTAAAATAAGAATAAGGATTACTGCTTTATCCAGGGTGGCCTCGTTGAGTCCGAAGACTTATTTCAGGAGGGTCCTGCCGAGTTTTCGCAGTTAGGGGACGATGTTGCTTTGTGCAATCCCAAATGACTTATTTACAGGGTAATTTTCGGCATTTTTCAACAAACGTTATGACCTAATTGAGAATTGTAAACTCATATTCTTGGTTCTTTCGGTAAAGTCACGTTGAAGGGAAACAATAAAATAATAAAATATATATAACAAAAAAATTCTCACGACGTTTCGACTGCAACACAAGCAGTCATCATCAGGTGTGAAAACCAACGGCAAGATGGAACATGTTCTTTAGAATTTTTATTGTTTTATATATATTTTATTATTTTATTGTTTCCCTTCAACGTGACTTTACCGAAAGAACCAAGAATACGAATCACTGCAGTCACGAAAGCTTTAAATCAACATTGTAAACTCTTTTGAAGACAAACACAAATGCGGTGCTGCTGGGTTACTTTAGAATTCGAGTTAATTTTCAAATGAAACTTACATAAGCCGATCTTTCCACTTGGTTGTAATGATGACTATCAACCAGCACATCTAAGATTATTAATATTTCACCAGGTTGTGTGTACATCCACTGTGAAGGTGGAGCTATGAAATTGGCTTCAACCTTTGATTTTTCAGACAATGGGGGGGGGGGGAGTATGGGGTTGCCTTGGGGAAGACTTCATCCAGCAATGGATTGATCATGACTGACGATGATGATCATGATGTGAGTTCTGTGCCACGAAGCACACAATACTCTGCTCTGGCTAATAATGTCGGGACAGGATTTCAGCATCTGTGTGTACATGATGTGAGCGAGCTTGGCAAAACTGCACGGTAAGTGGCAAATCTTCCAGCCAGGGGGCTGTCCACACACAGCTGAAACATTTCCACAACATCGCACCTGATTAAGTGTCGCTTGGACCCCAGGTCTCGCTATAAAAAGGAGACGTTTGGTCTCAAGATGAGGATCTGACCTGGTTTAAATAATGTTACTGAGATTAACGTACCTGTCACCGAGTCAAATTTGGGGGAGCGGTGGCGCTCTGGTTTGTGCACTAGGCTACTCACCCAGTGACCTGTGTTTGATTACCGGCCACGGCTAATATCAGGGTGAGTGATATCTGAACCCGATTTAGTGTTTCATCCCCCCCTGCCACCTCGCTCCCCAAACTTTACCAGCCAGCATGTTTTTTTTTGTCTTGTTTGAAACGTGTGGTTGTCCTGCACGACTATTGCACTGCGATGGGGTTCTCCGATCTTGTGCAGATATATTATTGTGGAATGGGCCAGCCATTCAGCAAAAAGCAACCCGATACTGGATTAAGACGGTGATAATTAAGCGTTGGCAATAATACAGACACCCCAAACACCACATGTCCGGGGCCGACATGGCACAGTAGAATAACGGACACGCTTTTTTGTTTTATCCAACGCAGAAATACACAGTGTTGTACTATACTTCAATGCTACCACGTAAAGCATATCCCTTCAAGGCTGCCACATCTATGCAAACACAAAGCCGCACTTACCAGCACGGTGCAAGTATGGTCAAACAACCCCAATGACCACCACGGTGTGGAGAGGCCCTCATCCAGCAGTGGATTGACAAAAGGGCTGTACATGCACATTTAATTAATCACAATGTACGTACTCCTCAGATTATATATTTATATATTTTTTAAAACTCCATATATTCGTCAATTATATTGTACAGTCCAATATAATAATATATTTTACTTTATTCACATTATACTGCAGGCAGAAGATGCGGTTTGATATGTTCACTCATTTTCATCGCAAGTTCAGCGATACAATATTTACCCGGTAAATATGCCGCAGGTTTGCATTGCTGCACCTGCTTACCAGCCCCATAGCGTGACCGAGCTTCATACATTAACTGAAGGCGGCGCAACACGACAGTCGGTGTCAAACAGTGAGTAAGGATATGATCTGCCGACGTCCAACGTGCATCGTGTTCCAGCTCGCACCCTCTATGTATTCAAGTTAAGGCTGTAGCGTCCGTTTGCTCGATTATTCCGACGTTTGCGCTTTGTCAAGCCCCTTCCGTGTATTGCAGGCAAATTTCAATCCGATGTAAGTTTGCAACATAAATAAAAAAAACCCTAATTTCTGTAAAAGTCAGCACTATAGTCAGCGGCTACATATCTGGTGTTTTTTTTATAACTTTAGTGGCTCGGAAAATAAACGTTTTCTTTTACCAGGTAAGACCAACTGAGCCATACTGGAAAGCTCTTTTTTAGAAGTTACCTGACCACAAATGATAGCTCAACGAAGTGGCTTATAATGTGGAAATTTATAGCAGCCAAATACTCTAAAACGGATGGTTCTAAATGTGGAGGGAAAAAAATCGGAGGACCCACAGACAAATCCACTGGGAAGACATGCAAACTCCAAATATACAGGGGTCAGGGTCGGGATCGAACCCACGACCTCCTGTATACCAGGCGAGGGATTTGACATCTCACCACCGTATCAGCACCGGCTCATCGTCGTGTGGTTTCAGTGGATTGGTGCGACCTAGAATTCAACAATCGGTTTACTAATTTCGCTTGTATCGTTCCTCGAATCTTCCATCAGGTTTATGCAGTCATTTTCGCTCTATTAGCCTAAATGAAACAGATTAATTTCCATGTGATTTTCACGCATCGTAAATCATTGATTGTGACTCGCACTATTATATTTGTGGATTGTGAGCACGAGAATGAATCGTGGTATATCATTATATGCCTACTCAGTGGTATTTACCGGGTTTAAGTATTTAACTCGTATCGCAAAAGAAATGAATCCACACCATCGCGAGTTTTTAATAATTGTGTAAAGAACTATCTCAATGGCTATGGCCAAGAGCATCTGCCAACTTGACGACATTTATTCAACGAGCCTGAAACTGCTGACAAGACTGAGAAATGTGAAACCATCCCCGAGTTTTCTTGCAAAGATAAATACTGCGGCGGCTGCTGCAGCAGCAGCAGCCCATTAACCTATTGTCTGTAAAGTCTGTAAAGCCAATAGGCGAATGGACTGAAAACAAAAATATATTATTTACGTGGGGCGATGGCCTTTGTTTAATTATTTAACCGTTACCCGTGTTCTCAATTGTAGCGTGTTTTGTGATATTAGCTGGGCTGCACAATGCAATCATAAAATAATCATGGTTTTGTGTTGCAATTTGTTGCGCCCTCAAGGGTTTCACACGTTCTATACAGTGCCGGTGGAGAGACACTGAATCCCTCATTTGCCGCAGTTGTAAAAGCACCACCGTTTCAATTTGTAGCGATAAAGGCCTGTCAAAAAAATATATAGTAAATACCAACTCTTTAACCGTTGGCTAAAGCTTGCATGCAGTTCTGAGACTTAAACGTTTCTGTTTGACAAACACTTTTGTGTCAGGGCATATACAATGTGCGATGTGCCAGTGTGGATGCAGAGCCCTATTGAAGTGACTTCACTCGTAGTTCTTCGGCACAGGGTGATGCACTACCTGCTGCAGAAATCTAAATGCAACAAAAAAAGACAATGGCATTATGCCGACAGCACAATTGGAAACATGTAGAAAATAGTTTTTTTATGCCAATTCTAACGAATATCATTCATATTCTTGGTTCTTTCGGTAAAGTCACGTAGAAGGGAAACAATCCGAGAAGATGGATTATGGCTTAGCAATCATTGGAAGGATTTGATAAACCATTTCGGGTCTTAATTGATTGATCACGCTTAAGGTGGCTTTCAGACCGCATCCATTATTTTTCGTCTTCCCCCTCCTCTTTTCCGAACATAGATGGACTCGTCCATCTGAACAAACTGTCAAATCGCTCTCCGTGGTGCTAACGTTAAAAATAACCGCCACTTTTTAGAAATTTTCTTGTTGTGGTTTTCACACCTGATGATGATCGCTTGTGTTGAAGTCGAAACGTCGTGAGAATTTGATTGTTTTATATTTTTATTATTTTATTGTTTCCCTTCTACGTGACTTTATCGAAAGAACCAAGAATATGAATCCCTGCAGTCACGAAAGCTTTAAATCAAAATAGAATATCATTAAGTACACATTCCTTCAGTGAGTTAGAGAGCGTTGTTTAACACTGGGTAATAGAGGCATCTTTGTAGCAATTCCAAAAAAAAATACTTTACTGCATTGTGATGTTATGTTCCGAAACAAACTAGTTATAATAAAAACTCTGTTTCCCGAGGCACTTTTGCAAATAGGGTTTCATTAACCAATGGCTCTGACTGAGAGCATAATCGGGATTTTAATGCATAATCAGGATCGACGCACCCACGGAATTTTCACGTTTGGAACTTCCACAGTGGAATGTTCGATTACGGCATGCAGAAGGATGCACCATTGAAATGTTTCAGAATTCCGAAAAAGTCTACTTTATCATCAACTCTCGATGCCCTGGCTCGAGAGGAATGTTGCCACATCGAAGCCATTTTTTTCAATTCTCAGAACTGAAACTTAGTAAATAAATAAGTTACACCATCAAACTCAGGGCACTTGAGATCCAGGTGAATTACACGTGGGCATAGCTCAGATCAAATCCAGGATATCAGCGGTGCCA